ATTTATGCTCAAAGTATAATTATAATCCATATGAAACGATTCACATTCATGTTCATTCTGTGTGACTTAAAAAAGATTATGTTAGATCTAGAAAATTTTTCAAATGATCCTAAGTACATTGAGGTCTTTAGAGGATTTACACAGACCTATAAGCTAGATTGGAAAGATATAAAGTTAATCTAAAATCAAACATTGACTTCTAATGAGAGACAAATGGTGTTACAAGACACTATTACATTTGGGGGTGAATACCATACTGTTATTTTTAGACACACAGAAGATAGGCAGCCAGGGGAACAACCAGTTCCCAGTGGAGCACAGGTAGTCCCTATCCAAGACCCCTGTGGGCCTAACAGCCAGACAGGAGAGTGGAGCAGGAGAAATTTTCAACTATGTATTCTTGAAGGTCTAAGAAGGACAAAAGCTAAGACCACTAGTTTTTGTTCGTTTTAAATTTTGTTGTTGTTCTTTTTTTCTTTCTTTTTTAAATTTTTTTATTTGGTGCCAGAGATTGAACTCAGGAGCTTGTACTTGCCAGGCAGGTGCTTATTGCAGAGCTATCTCCCTGGCCCAACCTACTAGTTATTTTAAATTGTCTCTGGGCATATAGCTTAGTGGTAGAGCACCAGCCTAGCAAACACGAGGTCCTGAATTCAATTTTCAGTACCTCCTAACAAATGAATTGTCAACAATTTATCAAGAAAAAGATGAGAGGGCTGGGGAGATCCCTGGATCCCAAGTTGGATCCTCATTATAAAGGTGGCCACTGGTGGAGGCCCTAGAGCTCAGACTCATCTTCCTAGCTGGTCTAGCAAGACTAAAGGGACCCAGGGAACTCTGTCTCCTCACTCTGGCTGGACTGTCATCCCCACCAGTCATCTCCATGGAGGAGCTGTGAATAATCATGACTACAGAGGGAAAAGAAATCATCCCATTGTTGGACCTTGGCACAGGTCTCTTTGTCCTTTTCATTCCTGACCTTCCTTGCAGCCATCATTCCTCAATAGATAGGAGTCATCAGATAAAAAGTAACTCATCTAAGCTATAACTTAAGGGATGACTTTCTCTTCACCCATTCTTTTTAGTTATGCACAAAAGCCCAGCTACCACCTTGGGAGAGAAATTTTACTCTGTCTAAATACTATGATACATATATCCAGGTTGCCAACTAGTCAAAATGATGTTAGATTTGTTTTACAAATACAATATATACTGTTGATTATGTACAATAACTTGGGTTTTCATTGGTCAAGAATATGTTAATTGAGCCAGGCACATGCCTATAATCCCAGCATTCAGGAGGCTGAGCCAGGAGGATCATTGTAAGTTCAAGAGCAGCCTGCCTTACAAAGTGAACTCAAGGCCAGCCTGAACTGCATAACAAGACTCTGTCTCAAAAAGACCAAAAAAAGAGAAAACAATATGTTGTTATAATCTGTTTCAAAGTCATCAAAATAAGTCTTCAAAAATTTTAGAGATATTATAGTTAAAACTGGAGGGACTGAAAACAAAATATCAAAAGAGGATTCTAAGAGTTAGTGGGTTACAATTGTTAGTCCAGTTCCTTAAGAACAGTTTCCAGATTTATTAGCGGCTTGATTTCACTCATATGCCAAAGATTAAAGGAGTTCAATACTTATTAGTCTGGGTAGACAACCTCACAAACTGGGTGGAGGCCTTTCCTTGTGGAACAGAAAAGACACTAGAGGTGGTAAAGTTTTAGTCTCAGAAGTCATACCCAGATTCAGACTTCCTAAGAGGTTTCAGAGTTATAATGGGCCTTCTTTTAAAGAAATTGTTATACAGGGTATCTCTCAGGCACTGGGCATTCTCTATAACCTCCACTGTGCATGGAGGCCACAATCATCAGGAAAGGTAGAAAAAAATGAATGAGACCCTAAAGAGACATCTTTGAAAAAAGGCTCAGGAGACCCACCTACAGTGGCCTCTCTTACTACATTTAGCTCTTATCAAAATAAGAAACACACCTCAACTTCTAGGCCTCACTCCATTTGAAATGCTTTATGGTCACCCTTTTCTAACAATTTCTCTTCATAGAGAAACATATGCCTTACTGAAGGATGTCATCTCACTGGTAAAATTCCAACAGATTCTTCAACAGCTAAAGCTCAGCCTAAAGAAAAGAAAATTCTGTTTTCCATCCCAAAGACTTAATACTGGATGTTCCTTCCCTCATCATCTTCTCTAGAACCAACTTGGGAAGGACCACACACCATGATCCTGCCAGCTCCACCAGCTGTTAAGGTAGCAGGTCTGGACTCCTGGATACACCACACCCAACTAAACTCCTGGGAACCAGAGACTGTCACTGAGTATGAGAAACCATCACAGGAATACTCTGTGAATGCATAGAAGACTGATTCTTGTTCAAGAAAAAACAAGGTCTTCAGGTAAGTAGTCTAAGATGTTTCTCTTAGCCCTTTTACAAATCACTTTAACACTTAAGAGATAATGCAATTCCTTTTTAAGATGGGCACAAGAATATGCAGAGTCACTGCAACAATCATCTTGCTGGATATGTGGGTTGCTCCCCTTGTACAGTATGTCTGGATTTCCTTGGTGGATGTCCCCATTTCAAAGAGATGACTGAAATAAACTATAAGACTATATTAATGAGTTACAAAAGAGTTCAATGGTTCATAGTTTTGTCCACCAGTACAGGTAGCTGAGTGGCCTATGAACTATACTCTTAACAATCCTGGACATAATAGAATTTTTTCTAACGTTGCCACTGAAGCCTCTTCAAAAAGTCTGTTAGGACCCCTATTAAGTAAAAGTAAGGGTCCTCTCCTGAGGGCCAACAACCGTAGATATCAAGCTGGCTAGTTTTAGATATGGGATGAGTATCTATGGTTAACTACCACTATACGACATGTTAGTAGAAAGGCTGGTCCTCTTACATTGGAGACAGAAAAGTCACTCCTATTCTCATTGGCCTAACTCTATTAAATACTTGGGATGGACACCCTCTGATTAAGATATACAAACAGTAACTTTACAAGCTGAAGACTGAAGCCTCTTGAAGGCTTCAAACCTTCAAGTTTGCAACACACTGGTTTAATCACCCCAGAATTAGATGGGAAGCTCCCAATGGTACTTATAGGTCCTGTGGAACCAATCTGTGGCTCTGGCTACCCCTGGATGAATAGGGAGGTGCATGCTGGGATTTGCATGGTTACAAGGCACAAGTGTGGAAAGTACTGACACACCTGCAAACTTATCCTGCCTATAACATTCATGGTTTAAAAGTATGTTTCACTGGTACGATCATTTGGTTTCTATTTTTATTCTTTTCCTAGCGTTAGAGGATGTCTTGCAACACATTGAGTTTGCTATGGTTGATACATTGTGCCAACTTGAGAAATTTTGAAGGTTAAGTGACTCCGCAGAGGGCCAGGGTCCTCACTCTGTGAATATCCTGAGCTCGTGGAAGAGGAGGACATGGGAGACGGTATGGGTGGACAGCCACCCACAATACTATATAAGGGAGGAAAAGAGGATTGTTTTCCCCACTTTTTTGCTCTTGTTGCTTTTTTTTTTTTTTTTTTTTTTTTCTGTATTTTAGGAAAAGTTCTACAGGGCGTTCAGGGTCTTACTACTATATCCGATTCATAGTGATCCATCTGTTTACAGCGTCCCAAGAGCTGGGATTACAAGCACGCACCACCACGCCCAATCTAAATTGCCATCTCATCGTGCCCCAGGGGCGGGGCTGGCATGGCCCAGGATTGAACCCCCAGGCCCTGTGCCTGCTTGCAGGCACTTTAATCTGCTGAGCTATTTGACCGGCCCTCTTGTTGCTTTGCTATCTTTTGCCACTTTAAAATTTGGCCCCTGTGCCATGCCACCCTGCCTTGGAACCAGATAACTATGGACTGAAACCTCCAAACTGAACTAAACAAACCATTCATTCCTATTTTGGGTGTCAGGTACTTTGTCTCAGCAATGAGAGAAAAGTGACCAAGACAGAAGCTTTAACTAACTATACTTAGAAGGCCTTAAATGACACAGAGGCTGGTCACTCTCTCCTGAATAAAGAAGTAAAATTAATGAGGCAATCCACCCTCCAACATCAGATGGCATCAGACATGCTAACAGCAACACAAGGGGGTCCTTGTGCAATTATAAAAGCTGAATGTTGTGCAAACAGTCCTGATCTTTCTGCTACCATCTCAATAGCTGTTCAAAATATTAGACAACAGGTTAGTGACACGTCAGATTCTGAAATTCCCTGGACCTTTTCCTTATCCTCATTATGGAAAATTACCAGCTCCTCCTGGCGGAAAACTTTGTTGGCTGTATTCATAATTGTCCTGTTGATTTTATTATTTGGCCACGTATACATAATTGTTTTGTGGCCTTGTCTCCTCCAGAAGTAAAGCTGTATGTTTACCCATGACACACCTATCTTGTGCCTATGGAGGGCCTTTAGATAGACCCTCTGTGGAGTACCTCTGACTGCTGATCACAACAAAAGTAGCTGATCGGGAAAGCAAGGAAACGAAGGCAGATAAAGCACAGTGAGGATGTGGCTTAGTGGCAGAGCTTTTGCCTAGTGTGCTCCAGAACCTGTTTGATCTCAGCACTAAAGGAAAAAGAGAGAGAGAGAATGGGGGAAAGAGGATGGAGAGAGAGAAAAAGAACACACCATTCTCAAGAGAGGAATCTTCCATTTGGCCTGGGTGGTAAAATCAGAGGCCTGGCTTGGGGATTCACTAAAGTGTTCATGTTTTATACTATTTTCTACATACATTTGATAGTGGTAAAGTGATGATAGTAATAATGATTTTATAAATGGGGCCAGGGAGATGGTTCAGTAGAGTAAGCGCTTCCCTGGCAAGTGCAAGGGCTTAAATTCAATCCTCAGTTCCGGAAAAAAAAAAAAAAAAAAATGTTATAAATCACTGAAAGGAAAAAATGGGACCAGTCACAGGTGTACATTAGGACATAAAGTATGCATTCGCTTGGTCACTGCCTACCTGCAGGCACTGTGTATCCTCCATCTCATGGATCTTGGAGAGGTTTTCCGCCACTGTCCTGGAGGCCGGCTGTGTCCAGAGAGAGGAAACTGGGGCAGTTTGGCACGCAGGCTAATCTTCTCTGTTCTTTGAAGTTCTTTTGTGAAGTACCACCCTCCTACAGGAAAACAGGAAAGCCAAATCAACTCTCTTAATAGCAACTCCAGCCACTCTTGGAGTGGGCTACCGCTGACAATCAGTAGTCTCTAAAACTGACACCCCATGGCCACAAAGCACCTGTCCCATCCTGAGGACCGCATCTCTTCATTTTGTCTGTCTCTTGCTGTCTTTGAAACAGAGGACCAGCAAATGGAGGAACCGTAACCTGCAAGCAAAGAGGATCCTTAAGGCCTAGAGTACAGTTTGCACTAAGTTATTTACATCTTCCTTAGCAATCAAATATGGCCATACTGCACACCAAAGCAGCTGAGAATAAGGCCCAGGAGTAATGCCAGGCCCCAGAGCAGTGGAGGGTTAAACACTACCTGTCTCAGATGGGGGCATTTCACTGAGCTCAAATAGCTGGACAGAGGAGAGACCCACAGACCAGGGATATGCATCTGCATCACTGAGCCATCAATAAATTATGCTATACAGGTCCTATCCTCAAAAGCTTCTCAGTGTAAAACAGGTTAGTCACATAGAGACAATTTATAATCTTTTTTTTTTTTTTTTTTTTTTTTTTTTTTTTTTTTTAGCACTGAGGTTTGAACCCAGGCCCTCAGCTGAGCAAATGTTCTGCCACTGAGCTACATCCCTCAGTGACAATCTAGTCAGGACAGGGCCAGCTTGGGGCACTTCAGGATCATGAGGCAGTGCTTCTGTCCCAGCCTAGGAAGAAGTACTCCTGGGACCCTGCTAACTGCTGTTTAGGGGCTGAGTTAACAGGAGGGCAAGGGGTCAAGGGATGGGATGTACAGAAGTCTTTCGATTTCTTTTCCCTGATCTCCTGAAGGAAAGCAGAGAGAACATTTTCCCCTTCCTTTTCCTCCACAGCATTTAACCCAACCCTGGGCCCAAAGGTATACAATCACTGAACTGGGTATGGTGTCATACTTCTAATCCCAGCTACTTGGGGGGCTGAGGCAGGAGGATCATAAATTTTGAGACCAGCTTAGGTAACTTAGTGAGATGATCCTGTCTTGAAATAAAACTTAAAAAGGATTGAGATTTAGCTCAGTAGTAGAGCACTTGCTAGCATGTGCAAAGCCCTGGGTTCTATCCCAGTGTGCATATAAAACACACACAAACACACACACACACACACCCCTACGTTGAGTAAATGAAGGCATAATGTACTCTGCTTCAACACCTCTGACAAATTTTACACAACCAGGACTGGCCAGATAACTCAGTGGACTAAAGTACCTGCTTAGGCAGAGCATAGCAGCTGGGGTTCAATCCCCAGCATGCCATGCCGGCCCCACCCCTGGGGCACGCTGAGATGGCAACTGAGACTGGTGTGGTGGTGTGCACCTGTAATCCCAGCTTTTGGAAGGCTGCAAACAGGAGGATCACTATGAGTCCAATCTATGTAGTGAAGCCCTGTAGACCCTGTACTAAATACATTTTAAAAAATTACAAAAAATTGTATGCAACCAAATAACCCTTATCTTCATATTACTGATGTGGCTTGGTTTTTGTTTTTGTTTTTTTTTTTGTTTTTTGGTTTTTTTGGGGGTTTTTTTGAGAAACAAAATAAACTACATCTCTCTTCAGAACAAGACATTTTTAATTAGTAACATCACGTGACCACTTCTGTTACTCATGCACAAAACACTGCGATCTGCATCTCTCCATTTTAACTCATCCATGGGCCGTGTGGACAGCTGAGGACCTGCTACAAGTGGGACCAATAACTCTGTGGGGCACCCTCCCCGGCCCCCAGACCCACAGTCTTGCTTGTTCTGGCTGTGCGCACACTTCCTGTTCACACATGCTCCACAGGCCTCTCTCCCTCTGCTATTTCTGGTTTGCTGCGCAAGTGAGGAATGAACAAACAGAAGAACCAATTATCATGTATCCATGTGCACACTGTGCTCACAAATAGATGTGAACTTGCCAGTAACCTAAATTACTCTGAGTTCCTACTCTGAAAGGGGAAATGCTTTTGTGCATATTTTTTTATTTCTTTTTTTTATTTTAATTTTTATTTATTTTTTTGACAACTCATACAGAATTTTACTTAACAAAGTAATATGAATTGCACAGTATTTGTTGTAATACATGGTATTGTCTTACAGCCAGCTATTCATATTACCAGATATATACACATAAAATTGGAAGAAGAAAAAACTGGAGCAATGTATAAGAAATTAAGAAAAGAAAAAGTACAAACAATTGAAAAAAAGGAGACGAAGCTAATTAGAGCATTGTCTGCTTCTTTCCATTTCCATTTTTTCTTTAATATTTATTTATTTATTTGTCCTGTCAGAGGTGAATATTCTATTGGCATCTAAATATTATAAGTGTTTGAATTCAACTAAACATCTAACACTGTCTAGCAGTCTATAATATTAGTGGGTTATCCTCAGAAGTTATTGACTTGAACCTTTTACAGCTCATTGTGTTAATATGGATTTACTTAATATACCTCATTTTTATACTTTTCTACTGGATGGTTAAGACCAAGATGTAGCGAGACCTATATTCCCAGAAATGTAACTTTTGTATCTGATAAGGTCAGCCTAGCACTCTCAGGATTTATCCTGCAGCCCTGTACCACCTTTTGTACATCCTTTTGTCAGTGTCTGACATGAGGATGAGTCACGGCCATTGCTTGACCAAT